TTAATGAAGTAATTTCAATTTATTGGAAAATTCAATATAAAAAAATATGCCATTCAAAAAAATATCCACTTTGAAAGTGTACTTTTTTATATCGAAAATTTTGATATGTAGATGTTTAGCTGATCATAATATGTATCTATTATTGTTTGCTATAGCAATTAATTATCTTTTCTGAATAGAATATGACTTTTTTATTCTTATATATATATAATCATATTATATTAATATATTGTACTTTTAATTGATTCCATTTATTAATATTGTATTTTTGTCTTTTAAGATTCTTATTTTAAACCAAAAAAAAAAAAAAAATATTTTTTTTATTTAATTTTTTAATAAAATCATTTAAACTTTTTTTTAGAAAGATCACTTAGATATGTAACAATCGTTTCATGTTTTTCATGCATAGCAATTTTAATGGCGGTGTTATTCAATACAATTGTTGTAATGTTTTAAGTAAAAGAGAATTATAATATCATACAAAAAGTCAAAAATAATTGAATCTTTGATATGTATATCAATTCCTAATTCAACAAGATATTGAACAAGTTTAATATTTTTATTTTTGCATGCAAAATGTAAAAGAGTTTTATAAATTATTATGATTTAAAAAACATTGTAAGTCATAATGATTTTTGAAATTTCATTTAAAAATCAATTTTTTATAAATTTTGTGAAAAGCAAAAAAATAGAAATATCTCTAGATTTTAAATTAAAGTATCCAAGACTTTTGAGATATTTTACAAGCTTTAAATTTCCTGATTGGCAAGCATAATGTAAAAGATTCCTATTAAAATTATCATCATTGAAACATCATAAATGTTTAATTTTTTAAAATTTTATAAATGATTTCAAGATTCAAATTTCATCAACAAAAAGAATATAATGCAAGTTTGCTTGATATCTTGTTCTTCAAATCTATTAGATTCAATTAGTTCTTTAACAATTGGAAGATCGCCTATTTTGCATTCATAATGTAAGATTGTTTTATAAATTTCAATTCAAAACAGATTTTGAATTAAAAAAAACAAAAAAAATATCTTTTTCAGTTATTTTGATTGTTTTCAATGTAAGAAGATACCGTACAAGATCACTATTTTTTGATTTACAAGCATAATGCAATATAGTTTTGTAAATTATAATGATTATAACGTTGTAAATATTAATCATTTTAAAACATTGTAAAATTTGATTTGCTTAAAATTTTATCAACTTTAGTTGTATCAATTTTATATTTCTCAATTAAATTTTGTACAAGGTCAATATCACCCAGTCCACAAGCTAAATGAAGATATGTTTGATAAATAATAATGATTCAAAAATGCCATAAGAAACATATTGACAAGAATTCCATTAAAAACTCAATCAAGGGAATTTCATAAAAAAAAATATTTCAAATGTTGATATCTGTCATATTGATTTTTTCTTGAGAAATGATATAATTGATAAGATTTATATTTCCTGATGCAAAAGCCTTATGCAAGATGGTTGAATTTAAAAAAAAAATAGAATTTTATAAGTTATAATTGATAGAACTGAATAATATTCAAAGATTTAAATTTTATCAGCGTCAGATAGAACAAATATTTCCTTTTCTTTAAGCATTTGAACAAGGTTTAAATTTCCAGATGAGCAAGCTTCATGCAATATTGTTTTATTAGTAATTATAAATAGGAATTCCATTAGCTAATAAATATAAATTTTATTAAAAAGTTGTCAAAGAAACATTATAAAAATCTCCAAAAAAAGAAACATCTTCATCATCAAGGTCATAAATATTTAAATCAATAAGAAAATGGGCAAGTTCAAAATTTCCTGATCTGCATACAGAAAACAATATTGTTTTATAAAATAGTAACAAATGAAATATTTTGAATATTATTAAAGAAACTTGATTAAAAAGAGAACTGATAAATTTCATTCAAAAAAAAAAAATTTATAAAATGTCTTTTGCTTTTATATCGATATCTGGTATATTAACCAAGTATCTTATAAGTTTATCATTTTTAGAGTCGCAAGCATAATGTAAAATGGAAAAATAAATTATATTTATTTAGAACTTTATTTAAAAAAAAATTGTGTTTTAAAACAGAATAAAAAAAAGTTTTTTTTAACGTTTTTTAAAAATATAAAGGAAACATCAACTGCATTGATATCAATTTTTTCCAATGAAAGCAAAAACTTAACTAGTTTTATATTTCCTGATTTGCATGCCAAATGTAAAACTGTTTGATAAATAAAATCTAAAGATGAATTTGATAAATAATTATGTTACCAACTGAATAAAAGAATGATATATGAAATGTCATTTAAAAAATAACTTATTAAAATTGTTTTTGAAAGAGGATCATAATTTAAATCCAAAATTAAATGTTTTACAAGTTCAAAACATCCTGACTCGCAAGCCATATGCAAGTAATTGTTTTCATTTAAATATTATATAATTAATTTCATTAGATATTTCATTCACACTTCCGTTTTTCAAAAGTACTTTGTCAAAAAACTTTACATAATTTAATTCATTATCAAATTTATTTTCATTTTGATCAATTTGAAAGTGTGTCTCTTTTAGTGCTGCTTGAAGTTTTGAAATGTATTCTTTGATCTCTGATTCATCAATTTCTTCTTTCGAATAAGAAAAATCATTTGATAAAGAATTGCAAATTTCTTCAAAAGAAGGACGATCATCTCTGAATTTGCTCCAGCAACGAACTAATAATTTTTTCATTTTATCTGAAATAGATTCAATATCTAAATTTGGACGGACACCATCTTCAATTTTCAGCAAAACCTGATATGGATTTTTTGCTTCCTTAAGAAAAGGCTGTCCAGTAATGATTTGGTGAGCGATTAATGAGAAAGAATAAACATCAGCAGATTTATCATAATCATTATCATCATTGAACATTTCAGGTGCCATGTATAACGGTGATCCAATATTTTTTGTCACTTCTATATCATCTGATGTCATCAAAGATTTGTCATAGTATCGTGATATTCCAAAATCGCATATGCAAACTTCAAAATATTGATTTAAGAGGATGTTGCCTGGCTTTAAATCTCGATGAACTATACGGTTTTTATGAAGATAGGCCATTCCGTAAGCAATTCCAAGTAATGCTTTATATCTGCATGTTGGTGTCCAATAGTAAGGTGCGCCATTTTTTCCCCATTCATTTAATGTGTCTTGTAAAGTTCCATTGGGCAGGTATTCCATTAGAACAGATGGTTCGAATTGTGTGGAATCTTTATCATTTTGTAAATTAACGCCAAGAAATTTAACTAGCGAAGGATAATCTGTATTTAATTGAATTAGAATTTCTCGTAGAAAATTCTTTTGAAAATTGGGTTCTTTGACATTTGTAAAATATTTTATTGCATAAAGTCCGCCTTTTTTATCTTTAACAAGAGAAACTTTGCCAAATGATCCATTTCCGAGAGAATTTATGAATTCGAAATCTTTTGGATTGAAACTAATATTACTCGATTTTTTAAAATCCATAAAATTTATGATTGGAAATTTGTTAGTCACAAAATTCTATCTCTGCCCAAATTTTAAAGTTGCAATATTTGTTTGAATTATCTAAATAAATATTATTTACTTTGTATTAGCATGCCTCTTAATGGATGTTATGAGATATTTCATTTTTCAATTTTTTGAAAGTAATGGAAAATTTCATATCAAAGGTAATGAAAAAATTGAATGAATTAATTGAATGTGGATAATAATATATATGTATATTTAATACTATATAGTTGTGGTATTAAAAAAAAAAAAAAAATAGGCTTGTTATTCTGCAGGGTTGTGTATCGATCCTCTCCGGTAGCGGTTATTTTCCCGGTAAAATATCGATACTACCGGCTCTAACCGCCGGTAACGGTATTTATCGATAAAAAACCGAAGTATCGATACAAAAGTTGAAAATTTATATCGAATGTCAGGTTTTTTGTCGGTATTTTTTTAACAAAAAATGTATCGGATTCATTTAAAGATGATTAAAAAAAATTATAAGGTTCTAATGAATATTGTTAATTCTCTTTAATTACATATTTTACAACAAATAATCATCATAATAATTGAATAATCAATGGTTTCTGAAATATCGTAAATTTTATCATCTTTATGTCAATTTCTATTTGTAGATAAATATAACATTCCAGAACTATTGAATTAACTATTAATATGAGAAAGTACATAATATATATAAATTTTATTGTTTTTAATGATAATAATGATATCGAAAATTTGGATTGTTTAATGAAAATGAATATGACGAGATTTCTGAAGAAGAAAGACAATAATATACTTTTTATAGGCTAGTAATTATATTTATAATTAAAATATTTATTTAAAATTAAATAATCAAATGTTTTAATATTTTTATTCATTATTTATTAATAAAATTTATATATTAAAATACCGTATCGATACTGATAAAAAGTATTATAAAGTACTTTTTGAATAACCGCTGATACTCTAAAAATACCGAAGCACTTTTGTATCGATACAAAAAAATACCGAGCAAAAAAGTATCGATATTTACCGAATACCGATACTTCTTCGGTAACCGGTATTTAGTCGTATCGATAAACAACGCTGTTATTCTGATATCAATTATCAGATTTGGCACTTTTTTTAACTCAGATAATCGATAATAATATGCTATCGATTGGATGTTGTAATTAAAAAAAAAGTAACAATTGATTTTCAGGTCAATGACCGGTCATTTGCCCAAAAAAAAGATAATGACTGTTTTTTTCTGTCATGACAGCTGACTGGCCAAAAGTTCGGGACATCTTCTTGATCAATTATCGATATCGAAATTCGAGACTTAACAAACCTATAAAAAAAAAAAAAGAAAAGAAACTATATTTAGCATTATATGTGCATTTTATTATCTTTTAAAATTAAAAAAAAAAAAAAAAAATTGATATTCAAAAATATTCATTTTATTAATTTAAAAAAACTTTAATATTTTATAAAATATAATAAATAGAAAGCATTTGTGGCCAAGCTGGTTAAGGCATCAGACTTTTAATCTGGGGAGCGCGGGTTCGACACCCGTCAAATGCATTTTTTGGTCTGAATCTTGTTTTTATTACTGTTCATCTTTTTTTTGTTTTTTTTATCACGAATGTTTGTAAACTGATATGCAAATATCCGTACCAAAAATTATTCGCAACTTTCAATAAATACTCTCAATACTTTTGTCGAGATTGGAAAAAACAAAGTATCCTTTATGGCTACAAATCGCATTTTTGTTCTCTTGGGTGGCTCATGTTGAGCCGCTTCGCACTTCGTGATCAACCCAAAGGTGAACTGCAGGACAAAATAAATTTTTTAGAATTATTAATTAAATATTCGAACAAATTATGATTTATATTATTTAGGATAAAGTGAAAAATATTAAATAAGAAATATAGCATCATTAATTTATTTTTTTCCCAAGATATAATTTATTTATTAGGTACAGCTGTTTCGGAAATAGATTAGAATTTTTTAGAAATAAAATAGCATGATTTGAATGGTTTATAAAACCGCTAAAATATTTTTGGAAATAAAATATTTTTTTTTGGAAATAAAATAGTGAACGATTATTTTGCATTCAATTTCCAATATTTTTGTTGATGAAAAACATTTAAATCAGAAGCCAATATTAATTACATCTAAACAATCTTTTGCCAATTTAATATATTTTGACAGATGTTATTAAAAAGATACTTTATAATTGATATTTCACCGATTGCATAATATCTTTTTTAAATTATATCCTGGATAAAACAAAAAGAAAATTTATTTTCATATTCGATATAATAATCAATAATAATCATAAATAAAGTGATTTTTTCATTAATGCAAGAGTTTTTTCAAAATATACATCATCATCAATTTTCATATTAAAAATCATAAAAAATGCATAATTGTCAATAAATTGAAGATTTTATTGAGTAATTTTGGATGAAAACAATATTTTAGTAATATCATATTAAAAACACAATAACATACTCTATGTTTCATATTGAACTGTTAAAAACAAAACTCATGTATATATTAGCATAATAATGTGTAAAACGCCATAAAATTTCTTTAATCTATCTTTTAATTCTGTTTTTAAGTATGATAAAATTGAATATAAAATGATCGTTCCTATTTTATTTCCAAAAAAAACTATTTAATTTCCAAAAAAATAAAACGGTTACTATTTTATTTCCAAAAAATTCTAATCTATTTCCGAAACAGCTGTATATAGAAAAAATTGTAAACGGTCCATAAAGCAAAATTTTTATGTCAATTTTCAAAAAATTTTTCAGAGAAAATAAAATCTGTCAAAATGAATGCATTAGATATGAAATCCGATTTCATGAGTAAATATAAAATTGATACCAAAGATTTTAAAAAATGTGGAAAAATCAATAATGGTGGTTTTGGAATTATTTACAAAGTTATTAATATTCATTCAAATGAATATTATGCATGCAAAATTATTTATTTAAAAGATGATGACGAGCAAAATAGAAAAATGACTGATCGTGAAATCGAAATCATGATGAAATTGAAGCATCCTACTATAATAAATTTCATTGGATATTCATTAACAGATTTTGAAGGCAAATGCGCGGTTTCAATTTTCATGGATTTGGCAATTAAAGGATCTCTGGATCAATTACTTCAGAATTCACGAAAATCATTAGCATTTTCTGATTATAATAATACAGTACGACAAATCATTCTGGTTGGCATAGCAAAAGGTATGATGGTCCTCCATCATCATAATATTCTTCACCGTGATTTAAAACCTGGAAATATTTTACTCGATGAAAATTTGCATCCTTTAATTTCTGATTTCGGTTTGGCCACTTTTTATGAGAAAAGAAACAAAAAAAACGAACTAAAAAGCTTTATAACAAATAACTGTGGCACACCTATTTATATGGCTCCTGAAGTTATTTCTAAGAATTATTTTGATGGTAAGTCTGATGTCTATTCTTTTGGAATTTTAATGTACGAATTGCTTACTGAGTCAGTTCCATATCCAGAACTAGAAAACAAAAAAATGCCTCTTTTTCAGTTTTATAAGAATGTTATCAATAATTATCGGCCTACTTTTACGGTTCAAATTAAAGAATCATTCAAGGAATTGATTGAAAAATGCTGGTCAAATGATCCCAATGAAAGACCCACTTTTGACGAAATTTTTAACAAGCTCAAATATAAAAAAGATGATGATGAATATTTACTTGATGATGTTGATATTGATGACTTTAGTTTGTATGTTGAAGATATTACTGATGATGACTATATTAATGATATTAAGGTCTATAATAACATATATAATATAATGAGCAAAAATACAACAATTCATGATAAAAAGTTTCTTTTTGAGAAATTTAATGAGCTTCCATTAAAAATACAAAAAATGTTTATTGAAAAAATAATTCAAAAATCGCAAAACAGTGAACTAAATCAATGTTTATCTAATGTAAATAGTGTTTTAATGTATTTACTAAAAATTATTAAATCTTCAAGGAAGAAATATTGTTTTGAAATGACTTCATTACAGCCAGATGAATTGTTGATGAACATTAAAGAATGTGATCTTAGATTTAAAATTCATTCAGATGCAATCGAAAAAATTGTCAAAAGTAAGACTTTCAATTATCAAACATTCATTAATCTTTTAAAAAAGGTTAGAAATATTACGATTGATGTCAAATATCCTTCTGAATTATTTGATGACTCATTTCAACTAGCAAAAAGATGCAAATCAAGATGTTGTTTGTCAATTTCGATTTTAATCTCAGAAATTAAAGAAACAGACCAAAAGTTTATCGATAATTCAGAAATAGATTCAATCGAATTAGATTCTTCGGTTTCAGCAATAATTGGATATGCCAAAAATGGTTCTTTTTCTAATTGTACTTCACTAAAAATAGTGAAAATTCCTTCTTCAGTGAAAAAAATTGAAAATTACGCATTTTCAGGTTGTTCTTCATTAAAAGAAATCATTATTCCATCGACTGTTGTTGAAATTGGGCAAAACTCTTTTGCAAATTGTTCATCTTTAAAAAATGTTGTTCTTCCATCAAGTATATCATCAATCGAATCAAATTTATTTGATGAATGCAGATCATTGATCAAAATAACGATTCCATCTTCAGTTACATTGATTAAGAATTACGCATTCAATCATTGCACGTCATTAAGCCAAATTGAAATACCAACATCTGTTTCTTCTATTGGAAAATTTGCATTTAATGGATTTTCAGCACTAACAAAATTAGATATTCCTTCTTCTGTTGTTAGAATTGGTGAATATGCATTTAAAAGTTGTTCATCCTTGAAACATGTTGAAATGCCCAAAACAATAGGAGAATATGGAATTGGTATTTTTGATGAATGTCGTTCTTTGGAAATAAAATTGCCTTCTTCATTAGTAAGAATTAATGAAAACACTTTATTTTGGTGTCGAAATGCAATGAAAATTATTCTCCCTGATAACGTCAAATCAATAGATGATTATGCATTTAGAAATTTCATAAACATTAAAGAAATAAATATTCCAAATACTGTAACCAAAATTGGTAAATTCGCATTTAGTGGATGCACATCTCTTGTTAGTGCAATAATTCCATTATCGGTAAATGAAATAGGAGATATGGCTTTTAATGGTTGCTCGTCTTTATCCAATTGTTCACTTCCAACTAGCATTAAAAAAGTTGGCTTTGATATTTTTAAAGAGTGTAAATGCTTAAAAATTGAAATTCCTAGCTTTATAAAAGAAATAAGCCCAACAAACAGCATGATACTAAAGAATCTGTCGAAAATAGATCTTCCTTTATCAGTAACAGCAATAGAAAATTATTCATTCAAAAATTCAGATATAAAAGAAATAACGATTCCTTACTCTGTAACAAAAATTGGAACAGGGGCATTTAAAGGATCAGAATCATTAGAATCGATAAAAATAAACGCACAAATAAAAATTATTGAGGCAAAGGTATTTAAATCGTGCACATCACTAAAAAATATAAATATTCCTTCATCGGTAACAGAGATAAAAAGAAATTCATTTGCAAAATGTACATCTTTAATTAAACTAATTATTCCGCATGGAGTTAATAACATTGGAGAAGGAGCCTTTCAAGAATGTACATCGCTCAGTGAAGTAAATCTTCCTAATAGTATCACTCAAATCAATAAGTATACATTTTATTCATGTGTTTCATTAAAAGATATAAAAATTCCTCCTTTTGTGTCATTTATCGGCGATTATGCTTTTATGAACTGTCTTTCGCTTAAAAAGATATTTATTCCTTCATCAGTCAAAAAAATATGTGATTATTCATTTGGCAAATGTATTAATCTTGCAAGCATATCTATCCAATTTGGTTTAACCGAAATTAATTTAGGTGTTTTTATACATTGTATAAAAGTAAAAGAAATTGTTATTCCATCTTCTGTAACAAAAATTAGAAATTATGCATTTGCTTTTTGCCGATCATTAACGAAAATAATAATTCCTTCATCAATAGAAGAAATTGGCTCTGGAGCTTTTATGAATTGTTCATCTCTTATAAATATATCAATTCCTTCAAAAATAACCAAAATAAATCCCCAAACTTTTAAATTATGCTCCTCATTGAAACAAGTAACCATTCCTTCATCAGTTAAGTTAATAGATAAAAATGCTTTTCATAATTGCGCATCACTTGATGAAATTATAATTCCTTCATCATGTATAGAAATTGGTTCAGGTGCTTTTATAAATTGCTCGTCTCTTAAAAATATAACAATTCATTCAAAGTTGACCAAAATACATGAAGCAGCTTTTCAATTATGTTTTTCATTAAAGCAAATAACAATTCCTTCATTAGTAGAAGAAATTGGTGATTGTGCATTTGTGAATTGCTCATCTCTTACAAAAATATCAATTCAATCAAAACTGACAAAAATAAATCTGGCAACATTCGCATCATGTTTTTCATTAAAAGAAATAACAATTCCTTCTTCTGTTAAATTAATAGATAAATACGCTTTTAAAGATTGCACATCACTTGAAAAAATAGTGATTCCCTCATCAGTAGAAGAAATCGGTTCTTATGCATTTATGAATTGTTCATCTCTCAGAAACATATCAAATCATTCCCATTTAAAGAGCATTGAACAATACACTTTCTGTGATTGCACATCATTAGTAAATATTAAACTTTGCTTCTCCCTAAAAATAATAGAAGAAGGAGCTTTTGGAAGATGTACATCATTGAAAAGCATATCTCTTCCATCATCTGTAAAAGAAATAGGTAACTTTTCTTTTGCTCAATGCGAATCCCTTGAACAAATATATATTCCTTCATCTGTAGAATCGATTGGATATGGTGCTTTTATGAAATGTGCTTCATTAAAAAAAATAAAAATTCCTCCTAAAATAAAAACAATAGAAGAAAAAGCATTTTATCATTGCAGTTCTTTAACATCTATAAAGATTCCTTCATCTGTAAGATGCATTGATTATTCAGCTTTTGCTTTTTGTTCTTCTTTAAAAAAAGTTGATGCACCTTCAGTTGAAAAAATCGCATGTGATGCTTTTAATGATTGCCATTGTGATATCAAATTTAATCTTCCACCAAAAGTTAAAATAATATCTCCTTTTGGATATGGCTTACTTTATTCAAGAAAGAGTGTTTTACACAAGAAATTTCTGAAAATCATTGGTTTTGCAGTTATGGTGTTATTTTTTATATGTTTGTGTTTCATCATAAACAAATTTAAATATATAAAATAAAATATTTTAGCCTCAAAATAATTTCATTAAGAAGATTAAATATCTTTTTTTTTTTTTTTTTTTTTTTTTTTTTTATTGAAAGCCAGTTTTTTAATGTATCTTCTGGAAGCGAGACTGTTGTATTGGTAGCATATGGTCCCTCCGTGTCCATGAACTGGGTTCGATTCCCAGGTTTCGCATTTTTTTGATTTTTGAATTGATTTAAATATATTGCTTTTCTAGTATTTGTACATATATAAATATATATATATATATTTATATATATATATTTATATATATATATTTATATATATATATTTATATATATATATTTATATATATATATTTATATATATATATTTATATATATATATTTATATATATATATTTATATATATATATTTATATATATATATTTATATATATATATTTATATATATATATTTATATATATATATTTATATATATATATTTATATATATATATTTATATATATATATTTATATATATATATTTATATATATATATTTATATATATATATTTATATATATATATTTATATATATATATTTATATATATATATTTATATATATATATTTATATATATATATTTATATATATATATTTATATATATATATTTATATATATATATTTATATATATATATTTATATATATATATTTATATATATATATTTATATATATATATTTATATATATATATTTATATATATATATTTATATATATATATTTATATATATATATTTATATATATATATTTATATATATATATTTATATATATATATTTATATATATATATTTATATATATATATTTATATATATATATTTATATATATATATTTATATATATATATTTATATATATATATTTATATATATATATTTATATATATATATTTATATATATATATTTATATATATATATTTATATATATATATTTATATATATATATTTATATATATATATTTATATATATATATTTATATATATATATTTATATATATATATTTATATATATATATTTATATATATATATATATTTATATATATATATATATTGTTTATTTCATTAAAAAAGTAAAAATCAATAAGATAAATAGAATTATATTGTTGGGCTATTTATTTTATGAAAAAGTTTTTATGATACTTTTCAGAGTATAAATAGTCAATAAAAAATGCTTTATTTACTCATACTTTCAGTTAGAATATTTGTTAACGATCACAATGTCGATGAAGTTATTGAAAAATCATACAGTACTCCAGTATTTTGTGTTTTTTATTCTCCAAATTGTCCTCCTTGTCGAATGATGCACCCATATTGGCTTCAATTCATGAACAAATACGCCTTTGATCCCAACATCATTGTTGCAGAATGCGAAAGTTACACCAACCATGTTGCAGCTCGCAAAATGCTGTATTTTTCCTCCTTTCCAACATATGGTCTAATCATTAAAGGAAAAGGAACAATTCTAAATGTTGAAAGGACTTACAAAGGCTTCAAATCGAAAGCTGAAGAAATAAAGAAGATAAATATTCGTGACACTTGCGGCTATTATAACGAATCTGATCAAAATCTGAATAATTATCCAGCAATTGTAATAGAGTCAAATGAAGGTGAAATAATTGACTGCTCATATTTACATCAATTATCAAAAAGTTCTGGTATTTCACAATCACATTTCTACCTATCGGCGGCCCCTTTCAATCAATTCATTTGGCCCCCTCAAACTATAAGGGACATCAAAATTATTTTTTCCAATTCAAAAAGTTTGTATTTCAAAGGAAAAAAAAAAATTAAAAATGTGGCTTCGTTTATTAAAGATCAATTTAGTAATCCTCCTTTGTATGATTGGAACGTGAACTTCCCTCATAAGTCCGATAGGAAAAGTGTCATTATCGTTTATAATGATTTGAATTCAATTCAAAATTTTTACGATTTTGCCTATGAAAGATCCGACAAGTTTTCTTTCTCAAAAAGTCGATTTGACATCTCTAATTCATCCTTCGGTTTTTTGGAAGTGAAGGACCTCCCAGCAATGGTCTTCCCAGACTTGAACAACGGGACCTGCTCGGTGCTCAAGAACATCGATACAAACATGAACTTGCGAGTCTTGTTTGACAACCAAAGATTCGGAAAAAGCACCTTCCCTTTCAAGAGTTTCTACAGAATCAGAACAATGGGGCTGCTGTTCGCTGGTCCTGCAATTTTTTGTATCGTCGTGATTATTTTTATTATCAAAAAGACAAAACCGGAAAAAGCTGAATAAAAAATATTTTTTATTTGAATTTTTAAAATGATTTTTGGTCTTGTAATTCAAGTAATTTTTGAATTATAAGGTGTGCTGTTTTGAAATGGAAAAATAATTCGAAATTATTTTGTCTAATAATAATTTTTTTTTTTTATTTTTAATTCAATATAAATCACTTTTTGAATAGTCATTCAAAAAGTGCATATTTTAATATGATTAAAAGTATCTTGAAAAATTAATATGATATAATATATATTTTTAACTTAAATATATTTTATAATGATAACAGTATCGTTTTTGAAAAAACTGAAAACCGGGTTGATTTTAATATGTTAAAACGAATGAAATCAACTAAAAAAATTTTCTAGTGAGGAATCGAACCTCAATTCCAAACTTCAAAGGCTTGTGTGCTCACCAATTACACCACTAGAAATTCTTGATATATTATCTAAAATTATAATTTCATTAACTAATAAAGACTCAAATGTATTATTGATTTAATTATTGAGTTTTTTCTTTTTTATTCAATTATTTTTAGTGTCTTCAAATACTCAATAGCAAAGAATGATTGGCCAAAATCAGTTGGATGGACGCCATCTCTTGATAATTGCTCATTTGTGTATGTTTTTGATTCAATTTTGCTTCTTTGAATTGATTCAAAATCAAATAAAATGCAACCAAACTTTTTTGCAAGTTCTTTTACTTTTGCAATTTTTTCATTTAAATCAGGATGAAAACAATTCTTTTGGGGATCCAAATCTACAAGAAATGGAGTGATTAGCATGATTTGTATATTAGGGAAATCTTTTTTAATTTTGGTCAGTAATTCAGAATATTCTTTTTCATAACGTTCAATTGGGCATGGATCGTTTTCATCGAACTTTCTCCAAGTATCGTTGATTCCAATCATTATTGAAATAAAATCAGGATGAACATCAAATATATCCTTTTGATATCTTTGGAGTAAGTTTCTTACTCTATCACATCCAACACCACGGTTAACAAATTTGACGTTTGAATCTGGATATAATGCCTGGTAAATTGCACTAATTTTTCCAGGATATCCTGTTCCAATAGGTACTTCGCTTCTTCCCCATTCTGTGATGCTATCTCCTTGGAATAAAACAGTGGAGTTTGGTTTAAAATATGGATTCATTATGAAAGTGATATATGGATTTAATTTTTTATTTTTTTGTACTCAATTTATTGAATTTTTTCTGAACTCAATTAATATTGAAAATAAAAAAGTTAATTTAACTTTTTTAATGAAATTATTGATTGTATATCTCATCATTGAATTTTATAAAATGATTTTATAATTGATTTTTAAGGACTTATATCCTATTCAATGTTGAAAATTCAATTAAATTTCATTAATAGCTTTTCATGAAAATAATTGAGGAGCAAATTTTTGAAAAACTGAAATGCTTATCATATTTGTAGATTGCTGGTATGTTTAAATAAATAAATAAATAAAATATCGGTTAAAAAGCTACTTCATTTAATTAATTTATCACAACTTTTTCTGTGTTTTATATAACTCAAAAAGTTGTACACATAAAATAGAGTATAATTTTGGAGCGTTTCAATGAAATATCATTATTTTTGACTTAAAATTTTTCAATAGGTTTACTCAGCTGTAATGAAGGGACAAAATAAATGATAAAAAATAATTGAGATAAAAGTCGTTTCTAATATATCCAGCTTATAATAGTATTATAATTCTATTATTTATATTCATCTTTTTTAATTTTTTCAAAGCCCTCTTATTGGAAAAAACTGAATATAATGCCAATATCTTATTTAAGAAATCGATTTTTGAGCATTATGGAGAAAAAATCATTTTTCCATTCATACCATTTATCAGTTTTATATCTACTTATTTTACTAGTCAATGAAATTCTAAAATATGAATCGATTCTAATATAGTTGGACCTTTCTGAGAAGCATTCAAAAAGTTATCATCCATCAGAAAAAATAAGATTAAACGTATTTGGCAGCAGACAGACCTCAGTCAATTTCGCAACAGTGGTCAATTTTTTACCTTTTAATAAATAAATAAATAAAAAAAAAAAAAAAATGGTAAAAAATTGGAAATTGCTGGCAAAATTGACTGGTTTGTCTGCTAGCAAATACGACCACTCAAAAAATAACTAAAATAAAATGGCGAAAAAAAAAATCTTTTTAGGTTAAAAAAATGACCTTGTTGTATTAAAAATTTCAAAATTCTTATATATAAAATATTATGGTTTAAGTAAATAAATAAGAGTAGAATACTAAATACAAACAATTTATAATTATATGATATTAAACACGTCAAATAAATAAAAAAATGCGTAAATTATGAAATGATAAGAAAAACCAATGCAAAAGCATCATTTCATTTAGCATGTCAATTTCTGTTTAATGGTCAATATTTTCACCAATAGCATCAATCAGTCGAACACCTCCATAGACAAAATCTTGGCCACTTTCCTTTTTATATTCAAGAAGCAGCTTTTTGAGCTTCTTATCGAGATTAAACAGCCGATCATTGGCCGCTATTTTTGTCACCAGCTTCACTCCCGAGGCCTGAGTGGCGGAAGTCAGCCTTGGAGGTGAAGGAGAAGTTGATGACTTGGCTATTTGGTGAGCTTTTTGTGAATCTGGCTCCTTCTGCTCTTTAGAAGGCGACAGCTGAGAGATTCTCTTGGAAGGCAGCAGCAGAGACCTCTGTGATGAAATCTGGGATGATTTCTCGTTTGGGCTTTGGCTGCCTTGTTGATGTTCATCATTCAATTTTTGAGAAGGTGACAAAAATTTGCCATTTTTTGAAATCAAAGGTGGTGATGTGATGGTAACTTTTTGAGAAGACGATAGATTCTTTGTTATTTGAGAAGTGGTTTTTTGTTGAAGTGAAGCGATGTTAACTTTTTGAGAAGATGATAAATTTGATGTTGGTGAAGTGGAAACTTTTTGTGAAGGTGACAGTTTTGATTTTGTAGAGAATGATTTTGATGATGATATGATTGGCACTTTTTGTGAAGATGACATTAGAGACACTTTTTGAGATTTGGGTGGCGAAGGCGAGGAAGAAGCAGATTTTGAAGACTTGGTTGATGCTGACTTCTTTTTGCCTTTAGGAGGAGAAGGCGAATTTCTGGATTTTGAAGGGGATGGGCCACTGATGATCTGTATCAAGTCTTCTCTCTCGAGGACCAGTTCGAGGATCTCTCTGAATTTATTTTGTATTTTGGAGAGACGTTTATATTCGATATTTAAATAGATGGCGATATTCTCCAAATTGCTCAAATTATCGCCTTCGTTTGTTGCAGCAAAGTCTTTGTAATTTGGCCGGGTTTTCTGTGAGATATTCAAATTATCACACAAAATTTTGATAGCTTCTTTCAATTTTTGAATGACGATAGGAAGTCGTCTTTTTTTCTGACTTTCAAGGAATTCGATCTCTTTATCAAGTTCATTTATGTTCTCTATCGTCGGCCTATTTGTCCTCTCAATTTGGTCCTCGGAATCGACGGCCAAAATATAATACAAAAAGTCGATTTTTTGATTTTTCTCACTTATTGAAATATAACGGTTTTCTCTCAATTCTCTCAATTTTATTGTATAGTCCTCAAGCAGTGACAGCGAGTTTGTGTCGTATAAGCCGTTCTCGAGAATGTTCGATATGTCAGGAGGAAGTTCCTCGTGAAGATCGCCCAAAAACTGAGTGATCGACTTCCTGAGAGCGTCCAAGATGGCGACTCGGCGCTTCTTCTCGTTCTTCAGAAGTTTTAGACGCCTCTTGAAATGAAGAAGGCGAGTCTCGCTTAGATCGCTCTCGTTGTCTGCATCGAAATTGAGGAATTTTTCGAGATTGAAAGCTTCCTTCACTGAGTCGTTGATTTCGAATTGTTCCTTGCTTTCATCAGCTGTGCTGTTTTCTTCACTTTTTGTGTCGTTGTTGTTGCTGTTTGCTTCGGCGTTGTTCTTATTTTCATTGCTTTTGGCGCTTTCTATATTTCTATTGCTTTTGTTGCTGTCATTTTTGTCTGCCTCTTTTTCGTTGTCATTGCTGCTGCTGTTTTCCTCAGTTTCGCTATTTTTACTATTTTTATCGTTTCTTGTACTGTCATTGCTGCTATTGATTTTGCTGTCTTCTCTACTTTTGGAGTTTTCATTTCTTTGGCTTTCTTTTTCACTCATGATGTTGTTGCTGCTTCTTGTGCTTTCATTACTTTGGCAGTTATTGTTGTCATTTGCACTTTCATTATTCTGGCTTTCTTTTTCATTCATGTTGTTGTTGCTACTTCTTGTGCTTTCATTACTTTGGCAGTTATTGTTGTCATTTGCACTTTCACTACTTCGGTTTTCTTCCTTATTCATGCTGTCACTGTTGCTTCTTGTGCTTTCATTACTTTGGTTGTTATTGTTGTCATTTGCACTTTCATTATTCTGGCTTTCTTTTTCATTCATGTTGTTGTTGCTACTTCTTGTGCTTTCATTACTTTGGCCGTTATTTCTGCCCTTGTTTTCTTCTTCACTTTTGTTGTTGTTTTTTTTAGTTTTATTTCCAATCAATTTGTTTTGTTCATTTTCATCATTTTTGTTGTTTAAATCCTCGTTGTCTTCAACGTCTCCTTCTTTGTTACGAATGCTTCTTTCATTTCTTTCAACAGAATTTTCGCCAATTTTTGAATCTTTCATTTTGCGACTTTTTTCATCGTTGTTGCCTTTATTGTTTTGATCGTTATTATTGCATTTATTGGTAATTTCTTTCTTTTTTTCTTTTTTATCTGTTTTTTCTTCATTTGGGATGTCGAGGTTGCGATATATTGAAATAATTTGAGTTTGTATTTGTTCGAATTCTTTAATTCTCGGTTCATACTTCTTTTTGAGTTTATCAATGGATTCTATTGTTATTTCTCGTTGTTTTAAAAGAGGTAATGAAGAAATATCTGGTATCTCTTGTTCTTTTTCGCCATATAATATTTTGAGATGATTAAAATTTGTAACTAGTGCTTTTATCTCTTCGCGAAGTTTTTGACACTCCAAATCGTAATTATTAATGAAGTTTTCATAAGCATTTAACAGTGTTTTTGATAATTTATTCATTTCATTTGTGCGTTCTTCCTTTGTAAGTCCTGTAATTTGCCACAATCTTTCGAGTTTAGAATCAACAGCAAATGTTATAAGATTGTTAGTCATGAATAATGCTTTATTGCAAAAGCAAAATTCAAATTAATATTTCAATGTATATTTGACCTTATATTAAAAAATGAATTTAATAATATCTTCACTTTAAATAGATATAAGTAGGAAATTTTAAGTTAAATAATTTATTTATTTTATATAAAGAATAGTTTCAAAAGAAAAATTATTTTCTTATCTATTAGAAAATATCATATCGACTTAAAATACAAATTTTCTTTGTATTAATTTTGGAATGAGCCT